AGCCCCCGGAGCCCGCTCGGAGGGCGCCGGGCCGGGCGAGCGGTGTTAGGGATCGCGTACCCGTAACTCGGCCTGCTCCTCCTTGCGAAATCTGCCGCCGTCTCTTCCTGCCGGCGCTCGGCGGGAAGTAGAGGTGGGTTACGTGGTTTGTGTGGTGAGCGGACACCTCGCCCTGGCTGTTCCGTTTCAGTTTAACGTTTGTGCTCTTTAACAAACCATCCACTAATTACCCTGAGCAGGAGTTTAGCTCACAGAGTATCTTCCGCGTAGATTGTACCCTGCTGCCAGCCTTGCCGGCGGTCCTGAGTGCCCTGCCAGGGAGCGTAATGCCGGTGTCCCATCGACACGGCCCGACGCGGGCTTTGAAGTTTTGTTCTCAGTAGTACAGAAAGCGTGTGCATCCTCCTCGGGATAGCTTGTGGTAATGGATTGTGTATCTTTAAATGTTCCAAAGTAATTGTAGTTTCAGGACAAGACTCTGTGGTGAATGTAGCGCTGTAATTCTTATGTCTGCTAATGATTTAATGTTTTAGATGCTCTATGGGAGATCAGGGTGTCCTGAGTAAACTTGGAAATAAAGATTGAAGAGTGTGGCTTATTTTAATTATGCTTACAAAACCTGAGTCATTTATATCTCATAATTAACCACACCACTGCTGTAAAAAGTTGCTGAGCATTAACAAAAAACAGAACCGTGTATCACTGTTCCATCTGGTAACAGAATCACTTTGTGTTCTAAGGAAACAACCCAAAGGGCTTAGGGGCAACCTTGAAAAGCAAATTGACAGCTAGGATTAATTTCGGTGAGCTAATGCCACCAAGATTGATTGTAGGGGGGGAAAAAAAGTGTAGTAGTTTGTTGGATTGCTATATTGCAGAATATGAATTTTTGTGGATCAAATCATTCTAGTCATCAGACTAAGCTGTCACTTTCAAATAAGTAGTGTTCAAGACAGTGGCGTGGGTAGTGGTAGCAATGTGGCAATGAAGTCCAATTAACTAAAGAAATCCTGAGGCAGGCAATAAATTGTATTATATTTTCATATTTTCGTTAAAATACAAACAATATTGTAATAAAATCAATTTAAGGTACACTTCCCTTTTATGTTAAGAACTAAAATTCCAGTCAAGGAGAAAAACAGAAGTGGGAAAAAAAACCCAAAGCTGAAGTGTATTTTGCAGTGTCCAAATGTTGTATGTAAGCGTATTTTTGAAAAGCAGTTGGTTCTTGTGTCAAGGTTTGAGGTTATGCAGGACATCTGAAAATTGATGCAAGTGCTTCAGAGAACATTTCCAAGTTGTTATGGGCATGTAGGCTTTTAAATTGTCATGTTACAGTCATATTTAAGCTAAATACAATCACATGTTTTCAACAGGACACTCAATGGAGAGAAGTAAAAAAAAAATTCCTTGCTAACTGATTTTTTTTTTTTCACAATTGCATTTCAAATAACCATTTCTATAGTAAAGCAATACAAAGTAATAATGATTGTAAGGTTAATATAATTGGATAAACATATCTCCTTTTTTTCATTATGACTGGGTTTGTTTTGATCTATAGGGACAGGAAATGCAGCAGAGTTTCATGAGTCCAAAAATATGACTCCTCGTGCCTATATTGCTGCTGTATGCATATACAGAATTTTTATATACTGTTGTGGCTTAGCAATAGTAGTATTGTGGCTTATCATGTACTCCTGATAAGTGCCAGTAGGAGCCAAAAACTAGATGTTCCCACCTAACGTGCAGTACAAAAATCCATAGGTGAGCTGGGAGCATAACTGATGCTCCCCTATGCATATATAAAGCAATAGCAGCCATTTATATTTAGAAACCAGTTGGTAGGTGCTGGCCTTCCACCCTTTCTAATTTCAAGATATTCAGGATTAGAAAGGGTTTCATTTGTTTGTGTGTTTTACTGTGCGGGTTGACTTGTATTATCCATGTCACATGAAGCTCTCCCAAGTCAGATCATAAGGCTTTCGTGAGGACGGGAGGGACCGAGTTCTTGACTTCCAAGAGTATGATCAGACGAGCGGGGCATGCGGGTAAGAATGGGGAAACTTGGTTTCTGTTCTCTGATCCTCGTGTGTTACCATGTTATAACACTTGATAAAGTGTTATAATGTAGAAATTCTGCCAGTGAGATTATCATTTTAAAGGCAGCTGAATTTTGGAAAAAAAAAGTTTAGATCAAAAAAGACTTTACAGTTGCAGCAACAAAATGTAGATGAAGCATTTTACAGACTAACATTTGGGCTCTGAACAGTGGTGAGGGATGCAGTTTAAGACACTGCTATTGCCTATATGCTTAGCTGAGATACGTCCCTGCTTAGTATGCTGTCTTTTGTTAGTAACTTCCAAGTTATTCACAAATAGCTGTAAATTTAGCTCTGGGAGACAAGACATGTAGAAGCTAGGTGCAGTGACTAAGCTCTTTTAAAAATGTAATCGAAGGAGGAAGCAGAGGTAGTTATTTACACCCACCTCCTAGGCAATAGCATGCTTGTTAAGTGCGTGTGTGTGTGTGTATATATATATGCTTGTAAACTTAGTGTATTGGAATTGAATAGGATGTATAATTCATGCCCCTGAAATGCATATTTATGTACAGTTCAAATCACCCTTTCCTAGAACTAGATATTGCAGCCATTAGTATCTCTGCAAACTGTGTTGTTCTCATACAGGTGCTGGGACTGAGGAGCAAAATGTAGCTTTTCCATTGATTTCCTTTATAAGCTCTCTTGAATTCAAATGTGGAAGATTTCCAACAGCTTAAGTGTACTAGAATTAGGGGGGTTTTTTTGTGTTGGTTGTTCTCTAGCACTTTCTCACTGTTTTAAAGGGTATAAACAGCCATTTATCTTGGGTCTATGATGAAAATAGCTCATTTGGGTGGAAAATGAGAATCAGCTGTGTAAGTGTGTATTTTTGCCCTGTTATTAAAGGGTGAAAGAGTTCTTTATTTCCTGATTTATTTATTTTTCTTTTTTAGAATGGCCAAGAAGCATTGACAGCATATTAAAATGTGATTAAAAACTGAGGAATATCCAAAACATTAATTGTGTGGGGAAACAGATCTTTGTGCTGTGAAATGCATATCCATAGTTAGAAAGCCAAATAGGCTTTAAGGCATGACGAGGACTGAAGAACTGAAAGAAAGTAGATTAGTGTTGCATGCATCTTCAGTGTTGTGTGCAGTTCCAGTAGCACCATCTCTTAAATTACATGAAACTTAATAAAATCTACAGAGAGGGATAGTAAAGAGGACCAGAGTTATGGGATGTCTTTTAGACAAGAAGTGGCCAAGCAGAGTAGGATGAATATGTGACAGCGTATGAAGTCTAAAAATCATAAATGGTTTGGAGAATACATTTATGCAATAGTTAAGTTATCTCTGTACTGCAAAAATGTAAATCAATGGAGAAGGCCATCAACAGCCTGAAAAGCCATTGGTGCTGGATAGCTTGGATATACCCAATGTCCTTGGATCAGCAGTTGTGGGGAAAGGCTCAGTCAATGGAGGTTTGTCATGCTCAGCTGCTAGCCGATCCCTGGGGACAGAACAGTGGGTCAGGCGGGTTCCTGCCATGGACCCCAAAGTCAGTCCTTCAGCTCTCAGAGTCCTGGTTCCGTTGTTTTGTCAGAGATGAAGACAGATACCGCTATCTCTTTAGTTAAGCTAGCTATTGAATGTCACCTGTAAATGGGGATGCGGAAAAAAAACCACTTGTGTTGGCAGTTACTGTACAGGAAAGCTCCTGGATAGCATTGAAGCTGATAGCAGCGGTCAAAAGCATGGTTCTTTTTCAATATACATCAATTTCATGCTCCACAGAATTTAGTCAATTATATTTTAAAAAGTGAAGTCTTCAGATCTTTTGCAACCTTAGAGCATTTGAGTTTTGTTCTTAATCTAAAACTTCTCCACACAGTGAAGAACTAGCTCAAGAATGTGGAGGTTTAAGTTCTTTCTAAAGGAAGTGCTT